AATCCTTTATGTGACTTGGAGGCTGAAAAGCAGTTTGAGTCATCAAGAATATCAGGAGACTTTTCAGTATCTTCTTCACCATCTAAAGTAACTGCAAATGATCTCGGTATTGATCCTGATCTCCTGCATGTTTTTGTGTTCAGCGATGCCGGTAAACCCATATACACCCGGTAAGTTTGCCTGGTATCGACATTCTTGTGCGATTAAGCTTTTTACCGTTGACAAGCCCGCTAATTTGCTGTGGGGTTCGAGGGTCACCTGTCCTAATGCACTGTTTCTCGATTATGTTCTACTATGCTCTAATCAGCTTATGACTTCATTTTCGGATGAAATTTCTATTGCGTTGGCATGTGGTATCATGGAGGTCTTAGTTGTTCGGGTTTGTGCTCTGTTTGGCTGCTATTTATATAATTGCTTAGATCTAAAATCGTCAATTCGAAGTCAGCAGTGGTTGTGCGTTTCTGTCTTTCTAGGTACGGTGATGAGAGTAAATTGGCCCATGTTATGGGCGTTATGCAAGCTCTGATTTCCGTTGTCGCCTATCAAGGTGACCAACTTCAAACCATCGTCGCTGGTAATAAAAACATTGTTTTCCGAGTTTTCGGGCACCTAATCCTCGTTGCTGTTGGACCTTCTTGTGAACCCGTTTCGCATCTGTCCGTCATTCTCATATATGTATATAATCAGGTATGGGTTTCATCATCCAATAAAATCGGGTTGATTACTACTGACCGAGGTGTATTGTGATGAACTAGTGGAATTTTTAGACTAGTGCCGTGCCAATATTTGGGTGAAATATTTCTAATTTATTGTACTAACTTCTATTTCAATCCGTCTTGAATACCTTTTTAGATCGTGAGTGCACTAACCCACCAGAGGATAGACAGGTGGTTCATGCAGAAGCAAAACCTTGATTTGCGTAATCTTATGATAGGTGATAACCGTCTCCTCACTGGAGCCGTTGAACTCGTTGAAACCCAGATGGGACCCACACTGAATGCAGTTCTCTGTATTCCACTACCCAGCTCACTCAGAGATACGGTGGTTCAAGCCATCATTCACGGTGCTAAATCTCAGGTAATGAAACTGGCTTTTATTTGCACTCTTCACCTTTTCATCAAGTTTAGAATTGGTTTAACAGCTAGTTCGATTGCTATTTCGACTACCTTAACTTGTTCCACCCTGAATAGGTTGGCATGAGATGGATTTGTTTGATGCCGTACTAACTTAAATCGAACTCATTATTTGTTGCACAATTGACACTACCCATTTCCTTGGAATAAGAATAACTGAATTTTTTCTTGGCGCAACACACATTGATCTGGAGATTCGCCAACAGATTAGAATTAGTAAACTAACATTTCTACTTTCGGGTCTTTTTATTGTTATTTCAATAAGGATCTTCTGTTTGCCATTCTTCTGACAAATTATCGAGTGGTGTGCATCGTCAGCATGAAGAAGCGGTCTCTTCATCCTATCGATGTCCACCTGATCACAAATCTCGTGCGGTGTTCTCAGTCTTTCAGAAACGCTTCTACCAATTGGCTGCCTATTTGTCTTCCCAAGTTCAACTCCAAGTGAGATAACCCGTTGTCCGATTTTCTCTCCACTCATTAATTCTCAGTAGCCTATTATACCTATTGCTAATTTTAGTGGTTACCTCTATGCCAATCTCTCCTACCTGGACAATCATTCCTGCCTGGTTTTGCTGACCGTTGACAGCAACCAATTTTATGCCCTCCAGACCTCTCGAGACCAAATATTGTCGGTACATTTACGATGAATTTTACATTGCCTGTCTTTATCCTTCACCGCGACTATTGTTTTTGTACTTGTTTATGTTGCAGTCCTCCGGGATTCGGGTTTATATTTGGATGTGGCGTACTATATATGATGAAAATAGTAGATATCATTTACCTGGCCATTTTTTTGCCTAAATTTATTTGTTGTTGTATACAGAGACGTGGTTAATTCGATGGTCATAAATTCAGATTTTTCGTTATGCCTAGTCTAGGTAGGTGAGTGAAAAGTTATTGGACTCTTATCGCACTTGAAGTAATTGGTATTGTTGACAATCGACAATCAAAATGGCTACAGTAGAGTGCCTATTGAATTGTGAATTCTTACTGTTTTGAGGCATGGTATGGCTTAGTACTGTAAGCTAACATTAAAGCATGCAACTTTTTTCCCCACAGCGCTTACAATCGTCCCTTCAGGGTGAGTGCTTGCAGCGCCTGGCCTCGGCCACCTGGCCGGACGTTGCGTCGTTAGGATTTGGCGGGGCTCTGCGGCACTTTGTCTGCAAGTTGGTCTCTGCGGCGCAGTATACTACAAGTCGGTGGACCCCGCCCTACAACTTCAATGCTGCGGTGCCCTCCCCCTCTTCTTCCTCCGATAGCTTGGAGGCTGAGACAACGGCGGCCATGGTGGCAGCAGTGAAGCATCGTCAGGCAGCCCTACTTCGGGCCTATCGTGTGATGCATAAAAATCTCCACTGTCACCTCCATCCCGTCAGCTGCATATTTCAGGCCTCCAATACTGAGGCTCAATTGGCTTGGGTAATTTCATCTTTTCATGCTCTGTTCAGACCCCCGTTTTACATTTTGAATGGCCGAAGTCCAGAAACATTCGATAAGAGTGCCCGATCCCTTGGCGGCTTGTGCTTTTGCGATTTATATCTGCAATAATCTCGACTTGAAGGTGTGTGAAAACAAAACCTATTTGACGCAAAGAGCTATTCAAACAGACTAGGATTTTGTTCAGCTAATCCTTCGCTAATCTTCGTTACTCTCACGATGCGCTTAATTGAATTGAATTGAATTTTCTGCAACTATTATCGGCTTAACCCTTACTCTTTTGACCCAAGCTTGCACATCAACATCGCTTAATGCATGATTTCGTAATGGCTTCTTAACCTTTCTCCAAGAATGCAAATAACGATAATGCTGCCTGATTGTTATAGTTGGTATAGTCGTCTTTGAACCAATGCCAAGGCTGTGTAACCGCTAAACGCCGGAACGCGTTTGAAGCGTCGAAAACGAATATAATCTCGAATTCCCCTTAAACCGATAAACTGGAGGATTAATTTGATTATTGTTTCATCCAAGCATTCCCATTCCTAACTTCGGCACTTCGTGTCTTTTCAGTTGAGTCCGGAGTACGAGGTTTACATGACTCTGGAGCCGCTGGTTGGCAAACAAGAGGCTTTCGATATTCTCAAACGTCTAACAAAGTGGGTTTCAGCCAACAAACAGCGTCTCTTTATTCTCTCTTCGCCAACCTTCTAACCCCATACTCTATTTCCTTCCGCGTTCTCATAATCGTGTTTTCTTTTAATAATAACTAATTTGATCCTCTAACTGTTTTATTTTGAAAAGTCGTATCAATGCCTGTGATAACCAAGCAGCCGACTTTTTTGTTAAATCGGTTTCCAATGTTTATTTTGCTTGCTGATCAGTGCGCTCATTTGGCTGAGCCCGCGTTCTGATGGCGGAGGGAGCCGCGTGATGTGCTGACATGTTTGTAAGTCCTTCACCGAAACCTTATCATTGGAGGCTGTTTTGGGGTGGGTCTCGAGGTAAGAGTGTCATTCTGTCGTTGAACTTCAGGGTTTCACTCTGACTGACATTTATGTCAAATGTCACCAACACTTGAGGCGCGTACGCGGACCGAACGTCCAGATAAATGAAGTGGGAGCACAGTCCTTGTAGGCGACCAGGAGGCTCGGCAATGGTGCGCTAATCACGTATGACTGTAAGGGTTATAGTTGGAAGGGTGGGACTTGGTTGGATTAACGGCTGTGATAGCTGTCGTTGCCATGCGAGATCACAACGCTCCAGGCGCGAACCTGATGACCTCAACGTCTTCATTTCGATTTACCTGAACGGGTTGGCGTTTATGTCTAGTCGTTATTTCGTTAACGCAGGGACTTAGGTGAGCTGGCGCAAGGCGACGAGCTCTATCAGAACACATGGAGAATTATAGTGCTACCCTCTTGATCCTTAAATAGGGGTTTTTACTTCACGTGAACTAAAAAGATCGGTTACCGTACCCCATTTGCATCCCGAGGTAAATGTGGTACTTGTCGTGCTGCTTGATCACAAGAATTAGATCTTTTGTCTGCACTTAAGTGAAAGGCTGTCTTGATGCATTGAAAAAGATCCCATTTTCTCAGAGCAGTGGAGGAAAGTACTTCCACAGATAAACCAGAAGTATTTAATTAAGGAATAAACTTCAGTCAAAGCTCCAATTGATTAATCGCAAATTTTCATGGACAATCAAGTCACAAGTCAAGCGTGAAGAATTACGACGTGTAATAGTGGTACTACTCCACTCAATAGTTGACATCTTTCTCTGTAGCCACATTTGCAATTGCAAAACAAGAGTACCCAATCTGCGCAGCAATACTTAAACTGGAGAAAATATTTGCTTGCATACCCACTGTCTTGAGATCATTTTCTCAAAACTTGTGACATTCAAGTTTGTCCTTGTTGTCATTGGATGATAAATAAAAACACGACATAAGGTTCAGCGGAGGATGAAAAGCATTGGCAAAATATGAGGATTTATGTTATCAACCTTTGTTTACAAAATACTTCATATCAAAAAAGTATGTACACAGACCCATACCAGGAGGTCTTTTCGGAAGGAAGATCAAAGGATGCAGACCATGAGTACGTTCAACAGCGATAGCCGAACAAAATTTATGTGTATTCGGTTCTTGAACCGAGGGAAAATCCTGACCGCTTAATAATATATTTGGCCGCCTTCTTACCCCCATCAATGGCTTTTTCCAGATCTTCCTCGATGAGGTAGCTGGCCAAAAAACCTGCAGCAAAAGCATCACCAGCTCCATTAGTATCCACAATATCTTCTGGTGGCAATGGAGTGACTGGAAATGTACGAAGCACCTTGTCCCTTGATGACATTGTGTATATCGGTCCAGGTCCCTGTGTCAACACAACCAGGCGTGGACAGCAAATGTCGTTTGCTCGTGGCAGGGAGATAAGGTACTTTGCCGCACCTGCAGCACTCCTATCGTCCAATTTTCGCGCTTCAGCATAGGCCTTTGCCTCGTCTACACTGCCAAAGATGAAGTCGGCGTGCGGAATGACGGTATCGAGCGCCTCTGTGTAGGATCTTGCCACGTAAGGCGAGGCCAAATTTAAACACAACACTTTGCCATTCGATGACGCGTGGTCAAGAATAAGCCTGACAATATCCATACTGGATACTACCAAATAACCCTAAAAGAAGGTACAATGTATTTACTCCACAAACTTAAAAATGTTATGAAATAATTGTCAACTTGCTATGATGTAATATATTTGCGCTGCTTTCACCATTTCCCAGGTCCTTTTTTGTCGGAGAAAGTTGGTCGAAAGAGCAGCAGCAGCACCGAGAGAGGTGATCAAAGATCGGTTGGGACCGTTTATTAATACGAAGCACACACCCGTTCCAAGCTTATCAGTCGCCTCATATAAACTTTTCACACCAGTTTCTCTCATGCTTTTGATCAAAATCTCCCCGGTTGTATCAGCACCTATGCAGCCGATGTAGGTGCATTGGATTTTCTTAGAATCCTGATGAATCCACTGAATCATTTTCACCGTGTTCTGTGCAGCTCCGCCAGGAATAAAAGTAAGCTTGTGATTCTCTTGCAAAAGTTCCTCATAAAGTCCCTCTTGTTTGGGCCCCTTCAGTGTTGCTCCGTTTGCTTCGACGCCATATTTGCTCAGAAATGTCTCACAAACATTGGCCTGAATATCGAGCAGTGGGTGCCCAAGCGCCATCAGACGAATGGGCTGCACACCACAAATCCCACCCATGTCGTCACGCCAGCAGGGCATACTGCAGCCTGGATTGTGAATCAGTCTATTAACCCACACAAAGAGCCAATGGCTGGACGGCGTTGCCGATGGCCAATCAAAACGAAGCCATTCCACCACAGCTTAGTCAACACCGCGATAACAGTTCGGTTGTGCAGGCGGAGGGGGAGAGGAAACAGGAGATAATTGTCTTTACTGTCAATGGCTGCTCGAACTTACCAGCTCATTATCGATTTTTTAATATCGCGAATGCGCTCCTTCCGCTTTGTGTAATTTAAAGGCAACCCAACAGCATTAAGCAATGAGCAAAACTTCTGCCACGAATACATTTAAGCGAAAATTTAGACAACATTTTAACTCAAGTATTAAACCGTCATGATAGGGCATGAATGGAAATTGATACCATTTCATTCTCAAAGGCAAGGTGACTCGACTGATTTCTAGCATGACAGATGACAATTTGTGGGACGCAGGACTGCATCTTTTGGAGTGCCCTTTTTAGTGCTTTTCTGGCAATATTAATGGGTTAATACATAGGAGGAATGAGGTTCGTTTCTTACTAGCCCTTAAATTGACCTTGACAGCAATCCCCAGTTCATTGAAAGATGGGTTGCAATACGTCAGTTGCCTGGTCAATCTTGGCCTCTAAGCAATGCCAGCAGCTCCCATGGTCTTTCGTGATCGGCAAGGGAAGTCTCCAAACAGTTTGCAAAGAGAAAGTTATAGTCAGAAGTAGTAGAGACTTCGAGTAGATTTTAACCCATGCATTCAACTTGTTGAATTGAAGGGGTGAGCCCCACCCATTGCATTTCTAAACCCATATTGCATAAAAATGTCGCAATCCAGAGGGTGAGTTATTGAAGCATTGTAAAAACGCCCCATAATTTTGCAAGCGGACATTATTGTGGCATGGAATTGAAGGGGATCTATTACCAAGAACAAGTGGTCCTACCTGAGTTTGGGCGACTTGGGACCGTAAATGGCAATAGGTGGCTCTTAAGGGTATGAAGAAGTCGAGTTTGTTCGCGATGAAGTTTTTCGCTTCACTAACAATGGCATGACTGCTCTTAGTGAAGAGATGATGGGTGCTTACTTACAGATCAACTCGCGATCAGGTGAAGCGAAGGGAATTTAAGGTCTCAGGACTTACGGAGGCATATTATCAGAAGAAGGATCCCCTTGACTTTTCAAATCCCTCTTAATCATTAAATTTCTACACAAACCTCAACGTCTAAAGCCGTGATATGGCAGGCATTAACAATATAAGCCATAGTCTCATTCATTTAAGGTTTTTTTTTTGCATAATGCAGTGTCATTGCTGCCACAAAAATGAAACGATTAAAAGTCTGAGCACAGAGGCAGTATAACCCGGAGACCTCGTTCCCTTCGCTAAGGCATGGCCACAACAACCAAAAACAAAACACCGAGGTGCTAAGTAGGGCTCACCTCCTCCCTTGAATGTCATCCATTGTGCTTTCTATGCCTGTACTGTCCCCACCAAAGCACCTCACTTATTGCTGTATACACGTACCTGCAATGCTAGTCATTTAATTTTGGCAATTTGGCAGGAAAACGGCATTTGAGGAAAAGGAAAATGCGCTTGTCATTGTAAATATCCACTGCTGGCGGTAGAAACGCCAATCTAAAGGTTACTGCGGATAAAGTTTTGCGTCTATTCTTCCCTCCTACCTAATTTCACTTCAGTGCTGGCCTACTATGTCGACTTATCCACCTAGTGGAAACGTAGAGGCTGTATCACGTGTTTTCGTCGTCGACATCATCCGAGGGGTGACGTTAAGAGCTCCGTGACAATCACGTTTTGATAATTTACTGCCAGTGGCGCTTACGATATTGATAGCACTCCTAAAGACTACGGGAAAAGGGTAGTTTGTCGCAGACATTTTAAGCCTTTGCAAACGGCTAATTTCCGTTAGAACCTCAGCTATTAGGAGTATGCTTTGGTGCAGGTGGCATGTGGAATAGTAGCTCCTCCAGACATCGCCGAAGATGGAAGAAACTCGTCGTTTGGAGGTGATTTACAGAAGTCCCAGAAATCGTGCTACTCAGTTAAAAATCACTTTATAAGAGCGGTGAAAGAGGGCATAACTTCATGGAACTGAACAAGTTGAGACCTCTGTTCCAATCTTTGTTTTGCAAAGGCCCCCTCCAAATCGGTACTGTGGACGCGGTGTGGACTACCGCTCTCCATGTCGGTCAAGACGTGCACGTAGTTAAGATGTTTGTTACCTATCACCACAGCCAGGGACACGACATCCACCTTGGCAATTTTGCGCTTCAGTCCTGTTTTCCCCTTTTCGCTTTCTATTTATAGGATGTGAGAGGTTCCGAATCTCCTTTTTTTAAGACTTCTTCCACGTGGCAAGAGTGAAGTGCAAATTTTCGCTGATCGGAGCCATCCAAAAATTATGAAATTGCCCAACTGGTGATAAGAAATAGTGCGTTGTTGCCTTTGTCTTGGTTTTTTTGAATATTTTAACTGACACGGAACTTGTCATTTCAAATTGGTGGAGCTAAAAATCAAGAGTCTAGTCATTTTTTTTTGGAACTCTTCCTCATGCAACTTTTGGTAATAGCACATTGAGTTCGTCCACTCGGTGGCTTTGAAGCCCACAGGCCAGGGCGTCCGGGTTGCCTTTCAAAGACCTGCCACTTCAGCCGTCATCCTCATGTGCAATCCACTAAGAAGTTAAGCCTGACTCAGAGCAGCTTCTTTCTTGTTCATAAACTTTTTTATTCAGACCATCAATACAATTTTCCCATTTACCTCCCTGCTTCGTAACTTCGATGTTGAAGTGTAAAAGCAAGTCTAAGCAGTCAGAATTTGCACACATTGGTGAGGCTGTGCGCTGATAAGACGGTAGCATGAACTGACAAGGCAGGAGTTTCCATATACGCCACCTCTGCCTATATCTCAGGGCATTTTCAGTCCACTGGACTAACTATAAGTGTTAGCGTACGAGGGAGGCTTGGAAATTTATTAGTTGCAACTTAGTCTTGCAATTTGTGCGCCATACAACTTTGATGGAAAAGCCATTCTTCAACATCCAAGCAGAACACAATGTCTCTTTACTACACTATCAGGAGAACCTACAGGTACAGGCAACTCGTTTTCCACGCAAACGACTGATCATGAAACCAACAAGCCATGAAAATTAGTGTTGCTTAGAGCACGAGCTTTATTTCCATTAATTTGACTGACTGAGGTGGCGGTCGAGGGTTTATTTACTTCACATCTTCAAGTTTTGCGTCGCTCATTTCGCTCATCCGAGGGCTTTGTCAAAATTAGTTTAAACGACCCTCTGCTCTCCCTTGACCACCTCGAATCCGAAGAAATAGGGAAGACAGGTCTGACCTGAAGTCGGGTAAAATCGGTGCCCGAGGCGGCGGATTTAACAGAGAGGGTAGAGAGCGTTGCAGTTGTTTGGAAGTACTCCAACCCCACATTAGCGTTTTGGGTCTGTGGAGGCAAATTGGTTGCTGGTGGTATGCTATAAAATTCACGTCGATTGAAGAATTTGCGAAAGTTGAAGAGACCAACAAGTCGCGCCATAGAGGCGTCTGGAGAGAGGAAGAACTCTTGTACCATGACCGATAAAGCCGATCCTATTGGCGGGCCTATCAAGTAGATCTAAAAAGAGAATTTTCTTAATCTTCTGTGATGACTGAATTCATCTTGTCTCCGGTGGCAAAGGTGACAAACGTTGGGGCATCAACTTACAAACAGTTCCGAAGTTTTAGTGGATTGGTTTGAAACTTTATTTAGTCAAAAATTTCCCCTACTTTTAACAGTCAGTAGCATATACAATTTGGTTTATTTTTTAGAGTAATCGTAAGGTTCCATCCGAGACATAATGAAAGAAAATGGGGACGTTTAGATAGGGTTGTATCTTAGGGAGTATTTTATGCTTATTGATAAAAGTACTTGCAGGAATTGTAAGTTCGTCTGTTACATGGTGCTAAAGTTGCAAAAAATGAAATGAATTTGCCAAGCTATTGAAGATTAAATGAATTGCCCATTGAAAACCATAAGTGGAATACGAACTCACGTATTGCCTTTCAAAGTTGAAGTTGATAATTACAGCTGCCAAACTCCTAGCCGGATTTGTGCAGGCGCCGGAGATGGGAAGCTAAAAGTCAATGAGATGGTACAAACGGCACCAGGTACACTTAAACCAGAAAATAAGCCACGCATTTGATGACCTATTGAGGCCCGATCTCCACAACAGGATTTATAATGGATAATCATTGTTATTGGCAATAATTAAAGACGAAAATTGGAATCCTAGAGACATGCGGAATTTGTAGTAAAGCGACCAAAGTAAGGCATAAATGTTTACCGAAAATGCAAAAACGCCATTTTTTTCATTTCTCTTTCAAACTAGGCAAGAGGGAGCATGCTTAGAACTTTCTACAAATAAAACGTGTCCTTTGCGCTAAAATCGGAGTTGGGAATGTGAGTGATGACAGATCTGAAGACGATGAAATAAGCCTGTTCCACGGCATCCAACACAGATGAACTTACGGAAATGAGGTCAATCCAAAAGAAGACCATTACGAGCAAAACAAATGCGTTTATCCTGTTCATAGGATGAAATGAAGGAAGACGAAGTTCATCGAGCAAAGCAACAATCGCCAGCTCCAGAAAGAAGGTGACGATGATTTCCATGCCGATAGCCTGTAAGTCAGTTACACCAGGTCCGGGCATCGGCATTCCAATGTGTGTTCGATTCGACACGAAGGGAGATATGCTTAAACCAATGTAGAGGGACAGAAGCGTTCCAGCCATCTGTGCAATCAGGTACATGGGTACGTAGATAATGGACATTCGACGAGAGAGAATGACAGCTAGAGTCGTCATTGGATTTATTTGAGCGCCGCAAATGACAAAGGTGGTGAAGATCGCGCAGTAGACAACACTGCCTACCAACAGACCACTGACAAACGGTTCGTATTTGCGAGTGTAATCGTGGTACATGATTGGAAAGTTGGCCACGAAAGCTGCTGTGATCTCGGCGAGAAAACGTCGGGTCAGTTGCCATAAGTTTCCTGATGGTAGACCTCTCATGCTGGGAAGGTGTCCAGAGAATCTACAATTTCAATGAATATTCCATCAAAATTCGTTTCATTTACTTTAAAACAGTTTAAACTTTCAGTAAAATTGGGTGCATGTTTCCTAAGGAGGCGAAAATTACAATGAAAACAATCGTGATTAGTGAATGCTCTACGGATTAAGGGTTGGTGTCTGTGTCCCATTGCACAATCGAGTCGACACTGGTGCGAAACCTGGTGCGGTGAACTTAGAACTTCTGCAATTTATCACTTTATTGGCGAGATGTTTAAATCAAACTGGGATTTGGTAGTTTGGTTGTTCAAGAGTAAAAAAGAATGCCAATTGGACGCTACTTCTCTTAATGATAAGTGCCAAGAAGATCGTTGAAGTCCTCGTACTTGACTCAGTCTACCTGTCATCAATCAAGTTGGAAGACCTCAATGGCTGTGCACACAAACATCTGCTGACAAAGGAGGCTTTAACCGGAGTGAGTTGAGGTACCAGAGCCGGTATGAACCGCACACATTCATGCATTAAAGGCCTAATTCAAACTGACAGACACCTCACTTCTAGTGCCGGAATGCTTCCTCGAAAGACGGCTTTGGACTAGTAGAAAATGTGTTAGAAGGAAACCTGGTCGAGTTGTAAATTTCTTCTCTTTTTACAATCTGATTTAGAAGTCCCGATTTGACTCAAACGTTGCATGTGTTTGCGATTTACTGTCAAAACTGCGAGTTGTGTAAATTGAAATGCCTCGTAAAAAGTGGAATGCAATCACCTTGAGACCGACTTGTCAAATGGGGCGGTGGGGAAAATCGATGCGCGCCCTTAAAACGTGAACGTGGAGTCAAGTCCTCTCTCACCCTCGCATACATTCGATGCGATGAGGTAAGTTGACAGCTTTCTCATCTTCATACAGTGCTTGACTGACCTCCTCACCTTCCTACTTTCATTCAATGCAATCATTTTCAATAAGTTTGTCCTTTAAGGGCATTGACAGCGTTTTGTGACTCCTACTTGTCACAAACCAAAGTTATCGTTGGTGTTGTTTTGCAGCGAAGACCTACCGCACACTCATTTAATGTTCTTGGAGAATGTGCCGTGGCAAAGCTATGTCTGGCTTCTAGTGCGAATTTTCGTTGCTGAAGTGATTGGATCGGGGATCTTCGTTCTCCCTGGCATTTTGATCTCCACACCGACACAATACGAGCCACTCGTCAAAGGCATCGCAATGGGCGGAGGGCTTTACGTCGCCATCTGGATCACCTACCCCACCAGCGGAGCGCACATAAATCCCATCATATCCCTCGTCGCCTTCCTATTCAGGAACATCAAGTTGCAACATCTTGTATTCTACTGGATTGCTCAACTAATTGGCGCTCTTCTCAGCACCCTCATTGGCCTAAGCATTGTGCCATCTGGAGGCAATGAGACCTTCCGAGGCATGACTTTTCCGCATCCAGAGGTATCAGAAAGACAAGCCTTCCTCGTGGAGACGTTCACCACAAGCGTCCTTGTCATTGTCTACTTGGCCACCATCGATCTCAGGAGGCCAGAGAATTGGGGCTTGAACACGGGACTCAATATGGCCCTGCCACTGATGTTTACGGTCATTGGAAATGCAATTGTGGCTGTAAGTAATCTGCTAATCAGTCAAGACAGGTTGAAAGTCATATTTATGTTCCACCATTTTTGTTAGTTGACATCACAGTTAGCCAATACCCATCGTAGATCAGATAATGGGAAAGCTCTTCCTCTATTAAAGTGGAATTAAAGTTAATTAAAATGTTGTTAGGTGGATGCGTTTGCGAAACAATGCTTAGGCACACAATGACATTAATTGGATAGGCTGTAAAAATTGGCTGGCTGCAATGCATGGGACAAATTTGGGTGGTGCGAAGGTGCACACGCCTCATTGACAATGAAAAGAAGCCCCACTCATTGCCTCTTTTGTCTCTTTTGCAAGTGCTGTGGTAAAATTTTGACAAGAGAAGAAGGATTTCCACAACACTTGTTATGTCTTTTTCCTCCACACATCAACCTATGATGCACGA